AGATAGATAGATAGATAGAGATAGAGATAGATAGATAGATAGAGAGAGAGAGAGAGAGAGAGAGAGAGAGAGAGAGAGAGAGAGAGAGAGAGAGAGAGAGAGAGAGAGAGAGAGAGAGGTGGCAGCTTTCTCGGGCTTGAGAGGCTGGCTAGTTGCCCACTTGCAATTTTCCTGACTGATGGTGGGTGATTGGTTTTTGATTTTGACAACTGATCGATGGCCCTGATGGCTGCTGTTTTTCGTATTGGTCAGAATCGGCTAGATTGAATTGGACGAGTGGTAGTTATGGTCAGTTGTGTTGCATTCTGCAATCATGTGTCTGTTCGCTAGGTTGACGTGTGTGCAAGTAAATGATTAGAAAGAGTAGTGGTCATTTATGATTTTTCTCAATTGTTTTATTTTGTGTTTCTCTTCTTAAGCCTTGTTCATTTGACTTCTTCTCAAAGATGGTCATGTATAGAAGCAGGTCCTGGTGAAAGGACCCTCTTTATCTTTGCGATGCAAACTTGGGTGATGATTTGATAAGTAGGAGCAAAACAGCGGGTAAACGTAGCCCTTCTCTCCCCCCCCCCCCCTCCCCGCCCCCGCCTCCGCCCCTCTCTCTCTCTCTCTCTGTGCTCCCCCCTTTGTCCTTTTGAGGGGCTCATGCCTTAACTGCAACACAGTGACATGCCTTAACAGCAACTGCACCTGAACCTATTTTTTTGGACTCATCTTTTGCCCAACCAATCCTGAAGTGGTCAAGCCTTGGGCTGCCTCTGACAAGAGTCAACAGCTGCAAGACAAAACTGTGCCCACTGACCTGAGCTGACTATCCAATGGTTTAGTTTGGGGGCTGAAGTTTGGCAGCGGGCAGGCTGCTACCGGTATGCGCCATGGCCTACATGTGCGCAGCTGTAGAGTGCAGAGGTCAGGGAGCACACACAATGGTGGTGGTAAATTTTGATTGCCAGGTACAGACTCTAACAGCTGTCTAGTAGCTTCAGGGGCATGAGATCAACATATGTGTTGGAGGTTCAGGATCATTTAGGGCATAGTCAGACCACCGTCTTCCCCCAAACACAGGGCACCCTCATTATGGCTGGACTGGACCAGAAGACAGCATTTTACATTCATTGCGTTCTTACAGTCATTGCTTTTTTTCATTCATTATCGGGGCGCGTTATGTTTGGGGGAAGATGGTAGGAGACCTTTCTTGATGCATCTGGCTGTAGTCATGTCTTAATGCAGGTGAAAAATGCGTAGTGTGCATATGCCCCTTAGAAAGACGCGCTGGTTTAAACCACCAGTACTTGGCCCAGCTATCAGCCGCCGAAAAAAATAGAGTAGAAACATTTCTAGTTGGATGAATTTGGGCGCTCCTGTAGTGGCCCGTACGTTTCCTAAAATCGTGGCGCGTTAATGGGCACGACTTTAGGAAGTACTGGTGGTTTAATTAGTTTTATGATTTTTATCATTTCATGAACAACAATTTTGCCTTTCTATCGTTGTGGGACTTAAGGGAGCACACCCAATACCGTCTCGCTGACTGAAGTTGGCCCAAACTGGCATCTTGTTACTTTGACTATGGCGTTTGTGTTGGGGCATACCCCAATCTTGACAGGAATTGTTGCGTACCCTAATTCAGCAAGGGGAAATCACCTAGCGTCTCATGTCTGAGCTTCAAACTTCACCATGTCCTATGTCAGATAGCATGAATCGCAAGTCCCGGGCAACCAGAACCGTGATGCCGACCCATTTTTTTATTCTTTTCTTTTTTAACCTGAAGGGGTGGCGCCTATTTGTACCGGACAGGACTCTTTAAGTCTTTGTCCGTTTATCAATCAGCATTTATGTGTGTCTACTTGAATAAAACATCCAGCAGGTCTACTGCGATGCGTATCTGCTGTTTTTAACCGAGGAAAAGGAAGTGAACCTACCGGATGGAGGGAGATGTGATGTGCCAGGCCAGTGATGGGTGGGTGCTACGGGACATTGCCCTCTTCATTTTCCAATGCCAAAAGGTGAGCAAGCGGTTTGTGCCAAGCTTGTCCATCACTGCTACCATCATCTGATCGCACCTCGCTCTGATCTAGGCTGACTTTGATCCCAGCTTCTTTACTAAGACGGGTGGCCATTTGGGAAAGCAGTGTGTTCGGGGGGGGGGGGGGGGGGAGGAATGGAGGTACGTGGAGCACCATTACCTGCGACCAACCCCTGCAGACAGGAAGGGACAGGGCTGTTAAATTGTCAACCCCTGCAATGGGCCGAATGGAAAAAGTACGGGCCTTCTTGCAACCGGAACTTAGGACACAGCTTCTTCTTGTTGTGGCGAGTGGCCAAAGCTTGGTGGGGCATTCCTCCACCGGCTCACTGACAAGAGTGCTGGCAACTCACTTGCAGCTTACTGGCAGCCCTTTGAATCGCCAGCACCTTCGAGCCTCTTTTTCCCAACATGGATTTGCGGTGCGGGCCAAAGAAAAATGAACCACCTGTCTTTTTCGGCCACCGATGTTGGTCGAGTAGCACAGTTCATCCGAAGAACCCGGATTAATGCAATTTCAATTCTCAAGTTTGCGTGGGCGAGGTACTGGTGGTTTAGTAGCTCACTGAGAGCCAACTGACCGCTCAGTGACGGTTCAAGAACAGTTCACTACAGCTCTCTGCAGCTCACTGCATCTAGTTCACTGCTGCTACCTCAGTGCAGCTCAGTTAAGCTCACGTGTGGCTAACTGACAGCTTACTGGCAGCTCACTGGCAAGCTCATTGGCAGGTTCACAGGTAGCTCACAGACGGCTCATGCACAGGTCATTGCCAGCTTACTGACAGGTCACTGGCAGGTCACTGGCAGGTTCACAGGCAGCTCACAGACAGCTCATGCACAGGTCATCGCCAGCTTATGGACGGGTCGCTGGCAGGTCATTGGCAGCTCACTGTAGGACTGAGTTTTGACCCTCTTAATATTTTCTTAGTCAAGAGCTTAGAGGCTAGGACTTCTTATGTGCTTGTTTGGCCTCAGTTACTTGCATTCATATCCCTGGTGTTCCAACCAAAGGTCCCGTCTTCAGCCAGAAACCTGCCCAACTTCTTGTCCTTTGCTCGGTCACAACCAGAGGTGTCATCTTTGGTCAGGAATGTGCCTAGCTTCTTATCCCTTCGTTCCAACCATAAGGTCGAGGAACCTGCCTAGCCTCCTAACCCTTGGTTCCAGCCAAAGGTGTCATTCATCTTTGACCAAGAGTCTTCCTAGCTTCCAACCAAAGGTGTAATCTTCAACCGAGAATCTTTCTATCTCTGTTCCAAAGGTGTCATCTTTTGTAAGGAACCTGCCCAGCTTCCTATCCCTTTGTTCCAGCCAGAGGTTCCATCTTCAGCCAAGAACGTGCCGCCGTGGCTTGCCGGGTCAAGGCCACCTGTCCCTTTTTTCCAAGGTTCACCATGGCCGGCAGCCGCCCTACTGTCTTCTCCCAAACACAAATAGACCCTTATCATGAATGCATTGGGGGCCGAAGTTGTAGCTTGTGTACATTCAAAATTAGGATGCGTTGTCCCTGGGGGAAGACAGCAATTTATCCCACGGGTATGGCCTGTAGAACGCAACATGGATGCTTGGACCTCAAACAAGCCTGTAAACCGGCCCATGTGGACCATCTGTGATCCAAATGGATGCCTGGCAAATGCCAGCCAATTACTGGAGCGATACTAGCAGCTGTGGTCTCAATGTTCAATCACAGCAACACCCCCAGTTTGTTGTTTTACAGGGTAATTTTCACAAGAATTGTGAACGACTTTTTGGGTTTCCGCAGAAAGCTGGGAATCACATGATGCTGGAGCGTACGAAGAGGCCTAGAACCTGTGGGCTTCTGCTTTCTTGGCCTAGGGGTGGTGTGCCTCAGTGAGAGTGAGGTGTTCACAGCCCGTCAGGGAATAGCAGAGTTCCTCGAATAGAAAGCGTACATGTTGTATTCGAATACAACCTGTACCCTTTCTATTCGGATTTCGAAAAGAAAAAACTCTTGTATTCCCATAAAATTACTTCTTCTTTTTGTTGGAGGTCAGCGCCTGCCCTTGTGCTCCCTGCCACTGACATGCTGCATGCTGCAGGTCTCTCTCTCTCTCTCTCTCTCTCTCT